CTCGAGTTATAAGTGCTGGAAAACTTTTCACAACTCTCTTTTATATATATAGATTATTTGTATGCATTAATGACTGAGATATTTGCATCCAAAATCAACAAATTAAATTTTTTTTTCAGTGTGCCTCATTCTTGAGATTGATTGTATAATGCTGAAGTTGTAAGGTTCAGCAAGTGTCTATTGGTTATTCTTATCTTGTAAGGTAACTTCAAATTCATTTTATTTATTTTTCAGGCCTTTCTTAAGGGCGAAACTCAGATAATGGCTGATGAAGCCTTTCAAAACGCTGTACAAAGTTATCACGATGTATTTTTAAAATCTGAACGAGTTTTAAAAATGGTTCAATCTGGAGCATGCTCGCAGCACGATTTCAGAGAAGTTTTTCGCAATAATATAGAAAAACGTGTGAGGTATACGAAATGAAAACCCTTTAATATAACTGATATTGATATTGACATTTGGAAATTGACTATTTATAAATTTAGATCCCTACCAGAAATTGATGGATTGAGTAAGGAAACGGTGTTGACTTCTTGGATGGCAAAGTTTGACATCATTCTAAAGGGTAGTGGAGAAGAAGATACGAAACGTCCTTCGCGCATGCAACAATCATTAAATAGTGAGCTGATTCTATCCAAAGAACAGCTGTATGATATGTTTCAACAGATATTATCCGTCAAAAAATTCGAACATCAAATACTGTTTAATGCCCTAATGGTAAGATAATTTTAAATATATTTATTAAAAATATTGAGGACAAAATTAATTTATTTAACTAAAGCACGTGAAGTATTCAAATTTGAACATAAACTGGTCAAATTGCGCTATGGCTACATGTTGCATTTTCAGTTTTTTTTCAATTGTTCAAAAGATTATACAACAGTATATGTACTTTTCCGTGCAATGGTCGTGTCGATGTCCTTCCTCTGTTGGGGATATATTTATAAAAGTAAAAGGATATATTTTGGACTCTCGACTTTTAATCCAAAAGTCCAACTACCAACAGGGTGGATGAGGAGTGTGTTATGTTAGCGCACTGACCAGTCAGTGGTTAGCGTTAGAGTGTTAGTTCGAATGCAGCATTCTTTTTATACCATGAACCTATTAAAATTGCAAAAACGGCTATAATGATTTGTGGAGCCGTGACAATTACCATATTATATATATTCTTGATCAGGGCTATGAGGCCGTTCCGTCGGTATATGTGAACGAGTAGTTTGGTAATTAATAGTTACCTTTCAGACCTCAGTTATATGTTTTCTGCAACAAGCCTAAGCCTCCAAATATCAAAATTGTATATACACTTTTGATTTATATTTTTATCTATTTAATATTAGCTCGATTCTGCTGACGAGCAAGCCGCCGCTATTAGACGAGAATTGGATGGACGTATGCAGCGTGTTGGAGAAATGGAGAAGAATCGAAAGCTGATGCCAAAGTTCGTGCTCAAGGAAATGGAGTCGTTATACATCGAGGAACTAAAATCATCTATTAATCTATTGATGGCTAATCTGGAGTCTCTTCCCGTATCGAAAGGAAATATGGACAGTAAATATGGGCTTCAAAAATTAAAGCGTTATAACCACAGGTAAATCTTTCGTCGCTCATGTTACAAGATTTGTTTAATCCCACTTTATTCTATTAACTCTATCGCTGTCTTTCTTTCTTTCTCTTGTATCTCTGTGTCTTTCTCTCTCTCTCTCTCTCTCTTTCTGCCTCTCGAACATTGCAGCACACCATCCTTTTTGTAAGTTATCTTACAGGTGTATTGATAATTATATTTATATAGAAGATCAATTTTATTCATAAAAATAGAAAAATGATTCTGCGATCTCATGGATCCCTATCGAAGCTAGAAGGTGACTCAGAAGATGGTTGTACACAATTAACCAAATTGGATGTTGTTCTCACATTTCAATTGGAAGTCATTGTAATGGAAGTGAAAGGCCTAAAGTCTTTAGCGCCCAATCGGATTGTCTACTGTACAATGGAAGTGGAAAATGGGGAAAAGCTGCAAACAGATCAAGCCGAGGCATCGAAACCAATGTAAGAGGCTTAACGTGATTATCCTAATGTTAATTGAATGTAAGAATTTTAATTGGTTGACAAATTGCGCACAGGTGGGATACTCAGGGAGATTTTACTACTACTCATCCCTTGCCTGTCGTAAAAGTGAAACTGTATACAGAAAACCCTGGCATGCTCGCACTAGAGGATAAGGAGTTAGGAAAGGTCACAATAAAGCCTACACCCCTGTCTTCCAAAGTAAGCGACATATCGATTGCAGTAATTTTTTTATTTTAAATTTATAATTTTTTAAATTTTGTCTTCTAATCAAGTCCCCTGAATGGCATCGTATGATCGTGCCCAAAAATTTACCCGACCAGGATGTAAGGATAAAGATAGCATGTAGGCTTGACAAACCGTTAAATATGAAGCACTGTGGGTATGTAAAAAGAGGGATATTGTTCTAATCCATTCATCTAAAATAATATCATACATTTTCTTAGACATCTGTTTGCAATTGGAAAATCGGTGTGGAAAAAGTGGAAACGCCGGTATTTCGTTTTAGTGCAAGTATCTCAATATACATTCGCAATGTGTAGCTATAAGGAAAAGAAATCGGAACCGTCCGAAATGATGCAGCTTGATGGATATACCGTTGATTACATCGAGGCAGCCAGTGGTATGTCTACATATAGATTGGTTACATTACTTCGTAGTTAATAGTTTCCTTTACTATGTTTCAACTGAATCGATTGAAAGTATATGAATCTTCACTTTGTTAAAAGTGTTTAAAGTCATAAAATTTAAAATTTTGTTAGTTTGATTATGCGTTAAAAATGTATATTTTCTTATATTTTGGATATAAGCTTAGATTTTCACTAAATTCTTTTCATTCAAGTTCAGTATTGCGATATGTGAGTTATCGAACAACAATGATCAAATGAATATACATTTAATATATAATCTTCAATAGGTTCAGTATAAAAACAAGTAAGAAAGCTCTAGTCGAGACTGCTCGACTACGAGATCCCC